CGTTGTGACCATTTCTGACTGTGTCTCTCCCCTCAGTGCTCCTGTTTTACCGACGGTGTCACCGTGGCTTCCATGCCCCCGGCTCAGCCCCACAAGCGGCTKCTGGAGGGGGACCAGGGCCCCCCCACTGCAGGGATGGGAGCCTATTGCCCCGTGCCTCAGGTAGGGCCCCTGCTCCTCCCCAGCCTCTGCTCAGCACAGGCCCTTTGGGGCCCGGCTGCTTCCCATCCCAGTGTATTCTGGAGCGCATTCCAGGGCTCAGGCCTTCACAGTCATTCTTTGAGGTTTCGTCAGCCACCGCTCTGTGGAGCCACCTCTCTTTTACCTCTTTCATTATTCCTAAACTTGGTGTTTCTTTGCTCCCATTAGCATCACAGCAAAAATCCCTGCAGAATTCCCTGTCCTGTGCCTGGCATCTTTGTGCCCTGAACACAACCTGGGAGTTCTCACAGCACTGCTCTAAATGAGCTGCTCCAGCACGTTAGCAGAGTGGGTTTGCCCAAGCACACAAACCCTCTGACTGTGTTCAGCCTCCTGAAGAACCACCCAAAGCACCTCGGGAGGCAGAGCAGTGAATTCCCGTCCTCAGGCAGCAGCACCCCGAGGGAAGRAACAAGGCTTGCAGTGGGGCAGCAGCAAACAGCTCAGGCATCTCCTCAGCCCAGACCTTCCAGCAAGGCCAGCAGGTGCCATYGCTGCCTCAGTGAGTTTGGTTTGCTTGTCAGGTTCCAGAAGCTCTTCTCGAGCAGATCAGGGATGCAATCCTGCGGCACATCGTGGACAGCCTGAGACAAGAAGGAGCAGCCTATGCAGGTGAGTGAGCACCTGACAACCAAGGGAAACCCCTGTCCAGGTCAGTTCCATTTTCAGAGGCTGCTGAGGAATTCCAAATGCTATTTCTTTAAAAAAAAAAAACAGCACCAGCTCATTTTGGTTCACAGCTCTTTGTTTGGGAGAGAGCTTTGGTCTTTTCTCCTTGAAGGACCATGATTTGATGAAATATTTTTAATTAAAACAGATTTATTTGCAGTTCAGGGAATAACAGATACTCCAGTCCTGCTATACTGYTCACTCCTATGTACAGTAGTGTCCATTTTCTTCAGATCTTTATCCAGAAGCCGTTTTGGAAGAGGCAGCTGGTGCTCAAGGGTGTCGATGCCAAGGGCACTGAAGAGATCTCAGACCTCTAAAGAGTTGGGCTCCCACCCACATCTTTCATTTCTGCTGTTTGGGGGCTTTTTTACAATGCCTGAGTAAGAGTGGAGTGGGAGTTGTGTAAGTGTGGAGTWGGGTGCATGATGCCAGAGAACCTTTGCTTTGTGGGGTTTACAGTGTGGTGCCAGGTTCCTCAGTGGCTGCCTGTCCCTTTGGTGGATATTGAGGAATTATTGTCACTTATATCTGAATGACTGCAGAACCCTTTTCCTAATTCCTTCTGATTTGCACAACTGAATCCCACACTCCAAAATGTTCTGTTTKGTTTAAAGGCAGCCTCGAAAGAAAGAAGGAAATGTTGAAGTTCATTTTCTTGGCTGTGTTTGTGTCCAGGTGTGCTGCAAACAGGTTTGATGCTGACCAAAGAGGGAGTGAAGGTTTTAAACTTTAAATGCCAGTTTGGGGATCCCCAGTGTCAGGTGAGTGGAACATACTGGAAAATTAAAAATGCTTCATTCTTTCATCTCTTATTGTTGTATCTTTCTAGGGAAAGATCTGAATGTGAACATCTTAGACAATGTTTGAGGTAACTTGGAATTTTGGCTCGTCAGCTCCAGTGAATTATTAGTTAAAGGCTTTTAGTTGAAACACTGTTCCTCAGATTTTGTTTTTCTGTATAGAACCAGAATGGGAGGGGCCTGAATTCAAGTTCCTTCTACATAAACTCACACCTTGTGTTTCTAAATTTAGGACTGGTGCCAAAAGATGCTGCAACTGGAATGTTCACCCAGAGTTTCCAAATCTCCTCGTCTGGATCATACCGATTTCATTCCATCAGCTGAATTTTCCCTTAAGTGAATTGCAGCAAGCCAGCAAAATAAAAATTAACTTCTATCCTTTCTATAGGTAATTCTCCCTCTGCTTAAAAATGATTTTTATGAAGTGATTCAAGCAGCAATTGATGGCAAACTCTGCAGCTTCATGCCAGCCTGGTCAGAGGACAGAACTGCTGTGTGTGTGGTGATGGCCAGCCCGGGATACCCAGGAGACTCTGACAAAGGCATGGAGGTAACAGGTAACTCTGGGAGGTTGTTAATTCTTTAATTAGAGAAATCAGCAGGTTTGAATTTACCTCTGCTTTTAGAGGTCTGCACAGCTTCCTTGGATCCCCCTCTGAGCCTGCCTTCCTGCCTTGCTCCTGTCCTTGGAGAAGGAATGCTCCTCACTAAGGTCTCTTACGTGCAGCGTTCAATCTGCTCTCAGCTGCTGCTGAGACCAAGAGGTGATGGGGAAGGACAGAATTCTGTCACCCTGCCACAGCTGTGCCCTGGCCACGTGCACAGGCGATGGGAGGCAGAGCTGGCAGCGCTTGCCCGCGCTTTCCTGCCTGGGGTCCCTCGCCCGGAGCCCCAGGGAAGTCAGCCAATGCCCGAGGGAGGAGGCCGAGACCCGAGAGCTGTGAAACAGGAGCGGTGCAGCCTCCTCCCGCTGCCTCGGGATCGCCAGAGGGTGGCACCTTCTTCACAGGGCTCCCGGCTCTGAGGAAGGGCATTGAGATATTCAATATTCATACCGGTATTCAGTATTAACTGAGGTATTAGATCTATACATTCAGTAACCATTTAGATATTCTATATTATTTATATTTTTATATAGGYATTCAATATTCATACGGATATTAGAAATATATATTCAATGTTAATCTAGATATTTGATATAGATATGAAATATTGGCATAGGTATCCAATATACACATAGATGTTAGATACAGATATTCTATATTCATGTGGATAATTGATAGAGACATACAATATTCATCTAGATGTTAGATACAGATACTCAATATCCGTAGAGATATTCAATATTCTTACAGGACGTCAATATCCATTTAGATATCAATGTCCATTTGGGTATTGGATAT